CCGGAACCGTCCCGCTCTCCATGCCCAAAGCTGGAGGTGGGCAGCATCCCCGCTGTGCCCAATCCCGCCCCCGCACACTGCGTGGGAATACAGATGGACTTCAGGGGCCTGCCAGGAGGAGGAACGGGCTGGGGACAGCAGCTTTGGCCCATCCCCTCCCCATTCCTTGCAGACACAGGCTGTGGGACGTAGCCTCCCCCCAGCTTTGGGAAGTCTCCAGCCAGCAGCGGGTCCCGCATCTCCCCTGTCCGAGCGTGGAGGTTCCCACCTGATGGGGCAGGCGGTGCCATGGGGTCCCGCAGACCAAACCCAACTCACGCCTGCAAGCACAGGCCCCTCTCCGCACAAAGCCCTGCGAGCACCTCTGGAAGCCCAGGCGGCCTTCACAGCCATGCTGTGGGGGACCCTCAGGCCCTGCAGCCACCAGGGAGCCGCGCAGTGCTGGGGCAGGATCCAGCCCTTTCCTCTCCAGCGGGCACAAGGCTGCCCTGGCGCACACTCTCACAGCCACGGGCTGGCCGGTGCAGGGGGGCAGTGCTGGGGCACAAGCTTTGTGCACCCATCCGAGCAGCACCGGAGCCCGGCGCTGGCATCCCGTGCTGGTGGAGGCAGCTGTTCAGCTCCTCAGCACATACCCCATCCCATTGCACCTGTCCGGGCGGGTCCCACAGGAGCCAGGAGCTCAGCAAGCAGGCAGGTAGGAAGGGGGTGAGAACACAGGAGCATGGTGTTATCACATTCCCCTTAAATATCCCTGCCATCCTCACTCAGCAGAGGAAAGGAGGCCAAGGGGCCCAGCCCGCAGCTCCCCTCGCCGGCGCTTGGCCCTGGCCGCGAGTCACTGCCGGGATGAAGAAAGCCGGCAGCAGCGCTCGGGCAGTGGGAATCAGCCTCCTGCTGCCGGCTTGGCCAGGGACGGGCTCTGCCTCAGCAGAGCTGCTGGGCTGCCAGGTGCTGCAACGGGCTCACCCTCAGCAGGGATTCTTTGGGGCACCTTCCTCCCCCCAGGCAGCAGCAGCCCCAGGCAGTGCCTGGGCAGCACCGAGCGGCGTTTGCGCCCCGGTGCAGGGTACAGAAGGAGGGCGGCAGCACAGGTGTCCCCTGGGCTGGATCTGTGCCGTGGCTGACACTTGGCCCCTGCTCCAGGGATGAGGTAGTCTGCAGAGAACTGCGCTCATCCTTCCGGAGAGAGCCGCAAAGGGCGGGCAGGTGCGGCAGAGGGGTCGCACCAGCTCTGCAGCCTGCGGCCGATTGCTGCCGGGAAAGAGAGGAGCTGTGCGGCCACTCACGGTATGGAAACCTCCCTTGGAAACATGAGCCCACCAAGTAATTCCTCTTCCTACACGCCCACAGAAGGACGGCCCATATTGCCAGGAGTGGGGGAGAAGCCCAAGGCTCTTGGGGTCGGAAGATGACACTCATTGCCCCACGGACATGTTTTTAGGTTTTCAGGCTTCTCTAGCGGTGATTTTTAGCAAGAGGGGCAAGAGCGGTGTGTGGGGCTCAGCACAGCCCCGACAAGAAGCGGGAGCAGAGTGAGGAAGCAGTGGGATCTACAAGGAGTGTGGAAAGGCAGTAAAAGCACCTGTGCCATACCCTGCTCCCACCCATCCCCACCGCTCCCTAGGGTGCACGGCGGGCTGCTGCCACCCGTGCCAGGCAGGAGCAACCTCCAGTTTCTATAGGAACCAGATCAAGCCTTGAAATTGCCGGCCTTGCTGACGTGCTGCTGGCGGTGGTGAGCTCACAGCTGATCCTGCAGCTTCTATCGTGCTCATAGGGCAACACCGCGTCCATCAGCCTGCTGCCACCGATCCGGGAGGTGGCGAGGTCCCCGCAGACAAGTGTAGTCACAGCTCCAAGAGCAAGAGCCATGAGAATGGGAAAAATATCATTGAAAGATAAAAATAGTTACTTAAGCTGCAGCCATGGGTTGGTCGTGTGCCACCCTGGTGGGAACCCCACCACGTGCACCGTCAGCAAGCCCTGTGCCAGCACACAGCAGAGGTGCCAGCAGCTCCTGGAGGTAAATCCTGCACTGCCCGGGAGCCTGGCCAGGGACCCAGGCTGACAGGGACAGTGACAAGAGCAAGGCTTGAGCCTCCAGAGTGTGGTTCGCATCACACGGGGATGGGTGCATGAAGAGAGGCGGGCATTCAGAGAGGCGAAGTTCACAGGCAGTAAATACCCTGATCTTTGATCCCCATAATAAGCCGGTGCAAGCCCAGAAGAAAGCCGGGAGCGGGGCGGGGAGGGCAGCAGGAGAGGCACAAAGGAGGCACTGTGGCCGGCAGATGCGCTCCGGCCACTCGGCGCTGCACAGCCCCGCCATTCATCGCACGCTCCCACCGCCGCCGGGGACAGCGACATCTCCCCCGCCGCGGGTCTGACACGCTCCCCCCGGGCCCGAGCGCCCCGGACACGCCGTGCTGAGCACAGCTGCTCATCACCCTCTCAGAAAAACGCATTTTAAGCTGCTAAGAGCTTACAGCGGGAGGCTGCCCAGCAGTGCCCTGCCACAGCACCCGAGGCACAGCGACAGCTGCCTCTGGACACGCGTGTCGGGACAGGGTGGGGAGCCCCGAGAGCTGGGGCCGTGCTCCGGACAATCCATGCTGCTCCCTACAGGAACTGTCCTGGCCCCAGGCGAGGGGCAGGACACAAGGGCAGGTTGTATCTGCCCGAGATCTCCCAGCAGCAGCACAGCTCCGCGGGGTTCCAGAACAGCCTGAGCCGCTCCAAGAGCTCGGGCCATCTGGCAGCCGCTCCGGAGAGATGCGAGTCCCCCCGGGAACAGCAGCCGGCGGCTGGAGCCGAGCTGGAGCTCTGCAGCTGTGCTGCTCAGCCCCACGGAGCGGCTGCGGTGCCCTCTGCAGGCGCAGGGATGGGGGAGCAGAGCCTTCCCTGGCCCCACGGCCATGAACCTGGGGCCGGCCGCGGGCACGGCCCAGCCCCGCAGCACACACTGAGAGCCCGACACGGGGAGCTGGGAGTCTGCACCAGCCTCTCCGTTCTGCAGAACCCCCTGCCCCTGCCATCAGCAGCTTCCCATGGCTTTGAGGAGGGCACCAGGAATACGCTGCACTTCGTTTTCTTGGGTATAAACCCAAGACTTTCCTGAAATTGCACTAATAAAGGTGAATCCCACTGGGACCTGTACACACAGGAACTCTGGCAGACTACCTGCTCAAAGTTAAATGCATCTATCGATCTTCTTGCAAGATCACAGCTCAGAAGCGTGATTTAACAAAACCCTCCTTCACAACGCTGGGGAACCACATCGACGCAGAAATCAGGAGACATTGGAGCACTACATTTCTCTTACAGAACACAATTTATTTGGCATTTAGATGAAATGTTTCTCACAGCATCTTGAAAAAGAAAAAAAAAAAAAAAAAAAGAAAACAAAAACCAGTGTCACAGGGACTCAATTATTATAGTATCAAATTTAAATTCTACATGGTATTTCACAGAATATCAAAATCTTTTATACACTGCCACAGTTAAGTCCAGTCACAAACCAACTACACAGGAGAAGCCTGCAAGTGCAGCGCTGGCTAAAATTATTTTCCAGAGGAAGGTAAAAAGCAGTGTCTCATTCTCTCACAGCCTCTCAGGCGCCCTCAGCCCAACACACAGGGATGGTGCAGCACAGCCACCTCTGCTGCCATCAACCCTGACCCACTCAACACTCGAGGGGCACATACTAGAAAATTAAAGCTATGTGGTACCGTAGCAGGCAGGCAATGCTGACTCTTGTTAGGGGGAAGAGCATCTTCATCACTGAAAGCATCTATTCCAAGGAAACACCTATTTCACTTGGGAGTGGGGAACATGAGAAACAAACATGAACTTTGATTCACCTCTTCTACACTCAACTAACTCTAATTTTACAGTCCAGCTCCCAGCTTGCAAGGGAAATTTAAAAGAAATTTCTGCTTATTACATGTTCCTTGGCTAGGGAGAAAAAAGACGTTTCAGCAACTGAAAAAAGGAGACGCACATCATGGATTGTACGAGGCAACATTAAAACATCAGTGTTTTGCCACTGAGAAGTTACATCTGAAAGATAAAACCATCTTTAAGTACCAGGTTCAAATTTATTTAACATGAGATGGGAAAGAATGGTAATAATTACTGGTCAGAAAAAACATTTTCTTCCCAAGTACTCGAACAGGCCAGCACCCCATGACACCT